AAAGGCAAGGGAGAAAGAGAAAGATACACCCAGTTGAATGCAGAATTCCAGAGAATAGCTAGAGATTAAGAAGAGGTGGCAAAATTACATAGAAGAACTACAAGAACGAGCTTAACATCCCTGATAACCACAATGGGGTGGTCACTGACCTTGAACCAGGCATCCTAGAATGTGAAGTCAAATGGGCCTTAGGAAATCTGAGCAACAATAAAGCTAGTGGAGGAGACAGTATTCCAGCTGAGCTATTCAAAATCTTAAAAGACGATGCAGTAAAAGTGCTACACTCAATTTGCCAGCAAATTTGGAAAACTCAACAGTGGCCACAGGATTGGAAAAGGTCAGTTTATATTCCAATTCCAAAGAAAGGCAATGCCAAAGAATGTTCAAACTATCGCACCATTGCACTCATTTCACATGCTAGTAAGGTTATGCTTAAAATCCTACAAGCTAGGCTCCAGCAGTATGTGGATCAAGAACTACCAGAAGTACAGGCAGGATTTTGAAGAGGCAGAGGAACTAGAGATCAAATTGCCAATATACGCTGGATCATGGAGAAAGCTAGGGAGTTCCAGAAAAACATCTGCTTCATTGACTAAGCTAAAGCCTTTGATTGTGTGGATCACAACAAATTGTGGCATGTTCTTAAAGAGATGGGAGTACCAGACCATCTTATTTGTCTCTTGAGAAACCTATATGCGGGTCAAGAAGCAACAGTGAGAACTGGACACGGAACCACTGATCGGTTGAAAATTGGGAAAGGAGTCCGGCAAGGCTGTATACTGTCACCCTGCCTATTTAACTTATATGCAGAGCACATCATGAAAAAGGCGGGGCTGGATGAATCATAAATTGGAATTAAGATTGCCGGGAGAAATATCAACAACCTCAGATATGCAGATGATACCACTCTAATGGCAGAAAGTGAACAGGAACTAAAGAGTCTTGATGCGGGTGAAGAAGGAGAGTGCAAAAGTTGGCTTGAAACTCAACATTAAGAAAACTAAGACCATGGCATCCGGCCCTCTCAATTCCTGGCAAATAAATGGGGAAGAAATGTAGATAGTGACAGATTTTATTTTCCTGCACTCCAAGATCACCACAGATGGGGACTGCAGCCAAGAAAATAAAGGACGCTTGCTCCTGGGGAGGAAAGCTATGGCAAATCTAGACAGCAAATCTACTAAAAAGCAGAGACATCACCCTGCCAACAAAAGTGCTCTGGTTAAGGCTCTGGTTTTCCCAGTTGCAATGTATGGCTGTGAAAGTTGGACCATAAGAAAGGTTGAGCACCAAAGAATTGAGGCCTTTGAACTATGGTGCTAGAGAAGACTCCTGCAAGTCCCTTGGACTGCAATGCGATCAAACTGGTCAGTCCTAGAGGAGATCAACCCTGACTGCTCTTTAGAAGGCCAGATCCTAAAGATGAAACTCAAATACTTTGGCCACCTAATGAGAAGGAAGGAGTCACTGGAGAAGAGCCTAATGCTGGGAAAAATTGAGGGCAAAAGAAGAAGGGGACAACAGAGAATGAAGTGGCTGGATGGAGTCACTGAAGCAGTAGCTGTGAGCTTAAATGGACTCCAGAGGATGGTAGAGGACAGGAAGGCCTGGAGGAACGTTGTCCATGGGGTCGCGATGGGTCGGACATGACTTCATAACTAACAACAAAATGTACATGAGCCAAGTCATAAATCATGCATCATAACTCATAATGGCTAACTTCATACATAATACTTCATATGTAATAATACATAACCAAGCAAATCAATTTTTGGTTTGTGTGTTCTAAATACATATATGTACATCAGAGGAGGATGGCAAAAAAAGAGAGAAGGAGAGACATAAAGCACTTCTTCCTTGTTCAGACTTCCTAATTCGTCTGTAAATCTGCAATTTTTACTGAGAAAAGGGAGCGGAAACTGTGGTGAGGACATGTTTGTTTAAGCTGGCTGGTGACTTTGTATCAGTGGATGATTTCCTGCTTAGAATTGAACAAATTCCTTCCCATTCCCCAGAGAAAACAGAAAAATGAGGGGTGGGTGGCGGGTGAGCACAAGCTCACATAAATAAACAAAAGGCGGGGGGAACTAGAATTCATATTAGCCTGAGAACACAAAAGTGAAAAATTGAATAAAATGAGATTTTAGAACCTCATCTGGGAATAAAATGACTTTATAATTTGAAATTAAATGATAGAGACCCAAGAATAAAAACTGCAAACAACGGAGGGAAAAGACATATTTTGTTTCTGAAGGAAGGGAGAAGATATATTCACATTTCAAAAGCAGTGATTTTCAAAGTTGGCAACTTTAAGATGTGTGAGCTTCAATTTCCAGAATTCCCCTGCCAGCACTGCTCTAAAACCACAGCTATGGTTGTTTCTAGAGAAAAATGTTATAGTGCTTAGTTCTAGAGGGAAAAAAATGTTATGAGAAAAACAGAAGGTGTATTTCCTGCTGTAACTTACCATTCTTATCCCTCCTAACCAATGTGCATACCTCATCTTCTTTTTTAAAGAATGCATATTTAGTTTTCATTAGTACAGTCAAAATATATCCATAATTCTAAAAAGGCTATTTTATATGATCCATGAGAGAGTTGAGACTGATGTCACAGGTTAAATGGATGCTGATGGACTTCATCTGGGTGCCCCATACTGCATCCCTAAAATACCATATCTGCCTATGTAGCTGATTCAAGGATATGCCAATATAAGCCTGACAGATCAAAGCAAATCTTGATCGAGATGGTGATAGCTCTTTTCATTCCGTTCTCTGCAGAAGCTCTTCTGCAAACCCTACTGATGGTCAGCTAACCTTGTGCATTGCTATTTAAATTTTGAGCCATGGATAATTTCCCAAAATATGGAATATTTCATAACATCTCAAACAACAGTAAAATGTAGAAGAAAGTCAATGCTGTGGCAATCAAAAGAGGCATTTATCTCAAAAGATGCAAACTGTGTTTACTTCACAATTTTTCTTTCGTTTATATGATCTGACTTGGAGAATAACTGTGCAAAACACGTGGTTTCTTTTCCTCAGGAAAGCTGTGAGTTTTAGGTTTGAATTTGATAGAGTGTTGTCTTTAGTTAAACAAGAGTTAAACATCTCCTTAGTTTAGTTTTAGTTAAACATCTCTTTGGTTAAACAAGATAAGCAATTAACCAGGCAAGTCCATTTTTTGTGTGGCATCCATAGGTTACTCCAAGGCAAGAAAATTGATTTTATAACTTCTTTTCATTATCCCAGCAACAACAGTCCTTCAGTATGTTAGGATATGAATGTGTTCAATTTTTTTAAAAAAATAGCATATGTATCATCTATTTATTTTGGTAAGTACAGAAATTGGGTTGAGTGTAGGTATAATTTGATAGATACTTCCTATATTCAGAACAATAAATAAAAAAATAAAAAAAAAGGCCAAGCTCTAAACATTACAAGTAAAAAGTATGGGTACATGCAAGCAATGTAGAAAGGGGCACATGTAGAACAAATGAAATAATAGAAAATATTCCAGAAAATGCCTGGGTTCATTTTTACCTATACTAGAATATTGCCTTAAAACAGTGTATCTGCCCCTGAAGTCTTTCAGATGTGTTTGATATATGAGTTATCACCCACAGCCATCGTGGTCAGTTAGATTTTAAAATCCAACCCACCATGATAGTGTTAGGGATGGAAGACTGGTATAGAAAAAAAATATGCTTAGATAGACAGGGTAAGTGGTGGGTTCCAACCCGTGTTACCAGTGGTTCTCCTCGCGCATGTGTTTTGCGCACGATCACCATGCACAGGCTTGCTTCGCTCACACGCATGCCAAACTTGCGCTCTGCGGAAGTGTGTTAGGTTTCTGCTGAGCTGAGGCGCGGCAATCCATTCTGCCGTGCCTATCAGCTGGGCTAAAAAAAAAGAAATAAAGGTAGGAATAAAGTGGGGGTGGGCGGGAGGCCCAGCTCCCAGTCAAAGAGAACTGGTTCGGTGACATCACATCATCACCACTACCGGCTCAGCCGAACCGGGCTGAACCAGGAGCAACCCACCACTGGAGAGAATGCAGTGTTGTTCTCATGACACAATCAATGCAGGGGTGAAATCCAGCAGGTTCTGACAGGTTCTGGGGAATTGGTAGCGGAAATTTTGAGTAGTTCAGAGAACCAGCAAATACCACCTCTGGCTGGTCCCAGAGTGGGGTGGGAATGGAAATTTTGCAATATCCTTTCCCCCAAGATTAGGGAGGGAATGGAGATTTTGCAGTATCCTTCCCCTGGAGTGGGGTGGGAATGGAGATTTTGCAGTATCCTTCCCCTGCCACGCCCACCAAGCCACACTACACCCACCAAGCCATGTTCACAGAACCAGTAGTAAAAAAAAATTGGATTTCACCACTGAACCAATGTGTCCCTCAGAGTCCCTAATTACCCCATGGAACCTCTTCCTCCAAGATGTGCTGATTGCTACAAGCTTGAGAAGGGGGTTCAGAATTGGAAGGTCAGAGCCATGATGTAGGTAGGGGGAAGAAGAACCTGCATTAAGAAGACTGTTGCCTTCTTAATGGTGAAGCTTCTGAAAATATTTAGTTTACTCACTATGGGGAACAGAAGGAAGCTGTACAAGGTAGACTGGCCTCTTACATTAAGAGCCATTTAGTATAGTGGTTAAGGTGCAGGACCAGAGACCCTGAGTTTCAATTCCCCCTCAGGTATGGAAGCTGGCTGGCTCCCTTTGGACCAGTCACTCTCTCTCAGCCTAACCACCTCACCTCAGATGGATGTTGTAGGAAAAACAGGAGGGCATCTTATGTATGTTCCCTTGAGTTGAACACAATCAAATCAACACTCAATCAATCAATCAATCAATGTTTTTAATTACCTAGTTTCTCCCCTCTCCTTTCCACCCAAATGCAATTTCTATAGGGCATAATCATAGAAATAGGGTTTTTTAAATGAGAAGGAAGGAAATTTTGTAACTGACATTTTGGCCAAAGATGAGGCCCCAAGTCAGTCAGAAATGTGTTTGAAAAGGGGGAAAGAGTGAAATGATTTTTCAAAACATGTCTTTGTGGGAAAAGACCCCTAGGAACTGGCCAAAGACTTATACTTCCCCCACCCCATCCAACTTTTCTTCTTTTTCTATTATAAAAGGTGCAAATAAAACCGCTGAGCAGAAAAGATCAGCAAAATTGTAGACACTGAGCGCCCCCTTCCGCCTCACTGCTGTCACCCGAATTCCTGGGTCTCTGCAAACGCATTGGCCCAAATGATCCCACCCATTTCTCCTGGACCCTCCCTCTCCCTATCATTGGCTAGCCGCTTTCTTCGGAGGAATTTAAAAAGGAGAAATAAGGTTCGTAGGCTCAGGAAGCCAGAAGACTGCCGGACGCACCTGCTCTCCCGCTGTCATGCCGATCTTCCGAGCTATGGCTTCTTTCGTCCTCCTGCTCTTCTTTCTCCAAATCAACCTTCCCTTCGGGCGAAGCTGGCAAATGCTTAAAAACGATGCGGCGGAGTTCATCCCAGATTTTCTGGACAAAACCTTTGGGGCAGCGGAGCAGCCAGTGCAAGCGGCGTTTGCGTACAACGAGACTGAAATCACGAGCAACCGAGCCAATCAAGGGCGGAGGAATTCCCAGGTCTCTTCGGGAAGGATGGGTAAGACAGCTCAAGCAATCTCTCTAACCTGCTTTCCGTGTTTTCAGCTGATTGGTCTGGCATTGTAATACATTCTTTTTCGGGAGAACTGCACTCTCCCAGGACGCTGCTTTCTAACAGATCGGGATGGGCCAACTAGTCCAATACTGATCAACGAAAAAATTCTTCCTTTCCTTTCCTTTCCTTTCCTTTCCTTTCCTTTCCTTTCCTTTCCTTTCCTTTCCTTTCCTTGCCCTTGCCCTTGCCCTTTCTCCTTTCCTTTTTTTCCTTTCCTTTCCTTTCCCTTTCCCTTTTCCTTTCCCCTTTCCTTTCCTATCTTGTCCTTTTCCTTTTCCTTTCTCCTTTCCTTTCTTTTCTCCTTTTCTTTTTCTTCCTTTCTCCTTTCTTTTTTCTTTCCTTTCTCCTTTCCTTTTTCCTTTCCTTTCTCCTTTCTTTTTCCTTTCCTTTCCTTTCCTTTCCCTTCCTTTCTTTTTCCTTCCCTTCATAGGTGTCTGGATTTAAAGCTAAGATTGGCCATAGATGGTATTTGTAACCCTGGTTATATTAATATAATGAAATAATGAATAACGTGCACCCTAATGTAAATTCTGTTTTTCATTTTGGATCCCGATCTTACATGCAAATATAAGAAGCAGTGATTATATTGCAATGTGTCACACATGTTTGGACACTTGTCCTCAATTTCAAGGAACCCTGTAGGTTTAGAATATTCTGTTATTAGAAAAATCTGTTTGAATTATTTACAGCCATTCATACCATAAAAATCTATTGCTATTTTGCAATATCTTATCAATGTTTTGCAAAATCCTGTGTTCAAACTATGTTAATTATAATGGAAAATAGTAATATAGATCATGAAAAAGGAAAATGGATTACAGAAAGAGAAAACCATAAAGGAGGAAAAAGAAGGAAATAAAAAAGAAAGATATCCTGGGTTGACCACATGCCACTTTTAGTCACTTTCTCTCTTCTAGAAGTAATTAAAGTCTCTAAGCATTGTTGAAATAAAATACATATAGTGTGAACAATCTAAAATCAGTTCAATAACCCAAGAGATTTTTTTCTCCTTAAATGCAACTAATTGCAACTCTGAAGATGCAGTTATAATGAAAATGTATCAAAAGGAAGAATTAATAATAAAAAAACCCAAGCATCTTCTAATGCTCCTCACATTTCCAGATCTGCTCAAGCAAAACAAAGAAAACAAACAATTACCATCATTTCTATTTTAGTTCTTTAAAAAATCTTACAAAAATACTAATGTTAATTTAAACAGATACGTTAAGGAAAATTTCTACTTCTGTGGCTTGCATAATACTGATATAGCAGGCTGAGTCAACCCTCTGCCTTAAAGCATTTACATCTAAATAAAATCTGCAGAAACAATAAAGGCAGGGGGAAAAAACAATAGAGGGATAATTCAGTGAAATACAGAATATGTACTTAGATTTAATCATAAATGGGTAATTGCTCATTGCTCCCCTGGGTAATTTAAACTTTTAGTTCTTGACTTTGTACAGAGCCCCAAGTTAGGCTAGAGGCCTCTAGAAGAGTGCTTCTCAATCACGGCAACTTGAAGACATGTGGACTTCAACCCCCTCAATTCCCCAGCCAGAATAGCTAGCTAAGGAATTCTGGGAGTTGAAGTCCACACGTCTTCAAGTTGCCAAGTTTGAGAAGCACTGCTTTAGAATGTATTTTAGACTGGGCTGCTGTTTAAAGGCATTGCAAGTTGGTTTCTTTCAACTTGTGTGCCCAGTTAATCTAAACAGCCAGAGATATTTGGCATCTCTGCTTCTCCTTTTCTAATCTGCCTCTGATTAGTCTTCTACAGGAGACAATCTTTCTCTCTCTCTCTTTTTCACCATCTGAGGGGTTTCCTTTTATCAGTGAATAACTGGGGCTGGAAACAAAGTGTTCTGGTATATGAGGCTTCAGTTCAGACTGCCAGATGGAGTTATCAGAAAACTCAGAAGAGGATTTTCTAATATTGCAGTAAAACTTCTGAGACATATAGTATTAAAATGTTAAGGACCTGTCATAGATAGATTTGCAAGCCAATGTTCAAACATGACTTGCATGCCTAGAATCTGCTCTATCACTTCACTGTTACCAAAGTGTTTGTGCATCCTGAAAACTCTTGAATTTCAAGAAACTAACGTTGTGTTGAGTCAAAATGGGGCTGGATTGTTTTGAATTTCAGTCTGCTGATTAGTAGAACTTTTTTAGACAAATAGCAGGACAACTCTAGCCTTGGCTGACTTCTTTCCTTTGCTGAAAAAAGGCTCACTCTCCTCCAATATTTGGGGGCCAGATGGCGCTGTGGAACTATCAAAGCATATTATGGGCACTTTCAGAATAGGGTTGCCATAGCTGATATGCCCAACTAAAAACAACAACAAAACACTCATTTAGCAGAAGACAATCAAAAGATTGGGATGCAGCCAACCTGCCAGTCCAGTTGCATTCTAAGAATGCCTTTAGAGTACAGGTGCAGCTAGCAGCATGGTTGATAATATAGCTTTATGCCTGAGATCAGTGATTTGCTTTGCAGTGTTTCCCATTTTTAAAAAATTAATTAGATAAGGAGCCTAATAGGTATTAAGGAACATATTGGTTGGCACATGGGTTGGCACATTATCAAGTCTGGCACCATATTAGAGTCCAGACCCTAAATCTTCTTCAACAATCTGTCAAAAATGTTAGATTCCTATTTTGCATATTGTTGGAGCAATGTTTATATTCCTTAAGAGCTCTCCAAGGTCCTGTAAAGATTCAGTCACAAGACTGCGAGAGCATAAATCAATTTCTAATGTGCTCCACATCAAATTGCAGCTAAATTCTAACCATTCACTAGCAACCTGAAGCACTAAACTTCCTCCCAGTATCTACATATTTTTTTAAAGTGCTAGAATTATTTACTGTGCTGAATAAACAATCAGGTGAGTTGCACTGTCTCCTTCTTTGTTGTAAGAGGCCTCCAATAGCCTTCAGCGCAATAATTTATTTTCCTTCCTCCATAGAACCCCTGCAGTTTGGCTGCCGTGAAGTCTATTCCACCCGCTATGTTACCAGTGGTCCTTGCCGCAGCACCAAGCCAGTTAAGGAGCTTGTATGTTCTGGCCAATGCTTGCCAACTCATCTCCTCCCCAATTCAATTGGTAAGGGGAAATGGTGGAGGCAGCATGCCATGGATTACCGCTGCATCCCGGCACAAGGTCAATTCCAACGTATCCAGTTAACCTGCCCTGGTGAGGATATTCAGTTTATCAAGGCCAGAATCATCACCTCCTGCAAATGCAAGAGGTACACTCGCTACCACAATCGTTCTCAGCTCAAGGACTTCAGCAAGGAGACCACCCGTCCTCAGAGAAACAAAAAACCTCGGGTCCCCAGGGCCAGGGGCAGCAAGACCAACCAGGTGGAGCTGGAGAATTCCTTCTAGATGGAGGCTGTTGGTGAGACCTCAGCCCAGAAGAGTAGAGATTTTTGCCTCACCCACCCTCTCTTTTTGATGGCACTGGGATCAAAATGGGACTGAGCGAAGGGAGGGCCATGGCCATCATGGCTGCTCTCCCAACCAGAGGTTCAAAATTGGTGTGGCTGAAAGCTATCAGATTTGGATGAGAGCTCCAAGGGGGAGGGGAGAATTCAAATTGAGCAAGTGGTAGCAGTTCTCAGTCTGAGAGAGGAGTGGCTCAGAGATCAGAGAGGGTTGCATTGTCTCTAACATTGAAGGGGGAGGCAAGCTCTGTGCACTACTACTTTTTTTCAAGACTTCTTCGTCCTTCCTTAATGGACAAAGAATTAGCATCTCTCTAGCAAAATGGCCAGGTGTTTGTGCAGAATAATCCAAACTTTCCAGATCACTGTCTTTAAAACAGATTTACCCAATGAGGTGTCTTCCAGTCATGTTGGGACTACATCTCCCAGAATTTCTTTTCTGAAGTTGCTGGTATCATGGTATCTACCATCTACAGGGTGAAATGGGGAGTTTTAATACTTTGCCACCCTGGCCCTTTACTTCTTTCTGCAGCTGTTTATGATGGATGGTTTCCTATTGTGGTGCAGCATTGCCTGAACTATAACATTTGTTATTTAAAAATGAAACATGGAGAAGTCCCATCACAATGTACACATAGTGCTTGTTGTGCTGATCTGTACAGACAACTAACTTTGCTGAGTTACATATAAAGGTGTGTGTGAGAGAGAGAGAGAGAAGGGGAGGGGAGAGAGAATGATAATATCAGACATAGTTAAAGGGAGGGAACTTTCAAAGTAGTTCAAATGGAAAAAATATCTGGAAAGATTACCATCTTTAAATTAGCATCAACCATTGATGAAAGCAGAGCAGGATGAAGGAAGCCACGAGAATTCTTCCTAAAAATACTACAGATTTATGCTCAGTACCATCTCTGTATTGTGAGACATCCAGGTAATTCTAGACATCATTCCTGAATCTAAAGCTGGATATGTGCAAATTTCAACATGGGTGGGTGGGGTGGGTAGGATGGGACATAAAGGCTTTAATACAATTTCAGGCTTTAATGTGAGACAAAGCTAAGCTATGGTGGACCTCAGAAGTGGGCCTGAAGCATGCACAAAATGGTTGTGGGGAAGACAAGCAACTCCAAAATTAAGTTGATGTTGTTAAAATTTAAAAAATCTCTTTTTCTGTATACCAATCCTTGACTCTATTCAACTGTGGGGAATGTAAATTGCTCAAAACATTCCATGAATTTATAACTAAGTTCCAGTAATGGTCACTGTATTATTCATCCTTTTCTAAATGCCCTACAGCTCTTGCAGACAGAGATGTGATCATTATTTACTTGTTGGGATTGTGTCCTAAGAAACACTGTCTTTGTGTACCAGGTTCAGTGCACTATTTTGGGGTTAAATTATATAGCAAAATGTCTTCCTTTTCATTCTATATAGGTTGGAATATGATTTCATCAGCCATGTTCCGTCTGGTGACGAGAACTGTAGTCCAACACATATAATATGCACCAAATTGGGGAAAGATGAACTTTGAACAGGTGTATACTATTTTTGGCATTTCAAATATTATGAATTACAACTTCAAACATTTCTTACCATAGGTCATGTCTTCTCTGGATGCTGGGAGTTGTAGTTCAGCAACATCTGGAAGCCACAGGTGACTTAAGCCTGATTTAAACAACCTTCTCTTCCCATTCCTTTACTTAGTGTAGCCTATAAGCTTTCGAGCTTATGCTATTGGGAAAACCACCACCAGTCTTTGGGTGGCACAGATGTTGCTAAATATTGCCAAGCTGCAAATTATAATAACAGTACAACATTCCAGATCTGACTCCACCTCTTCCCAATTGCTAGACTCATAAGATGCACAGCCTTTTCTTCAACCTGAATAGATGTTGTTTGCAGTGGAAGACGTGGCAGTGAAAAAGTTGACTTCCCTAAGATTTAAATAACATCTTTATTTATTTCCTCGTAAAAAAACTATTTATGTTCTTTGACTCTCTTGTAGCCAACTGGGCAATCCTGTTCCTTGATATTTAATCTGAGGTTTCAGAGTTATGCAGATATATTTCTAAAAATAATCAATAAAATTACGTTCATCAAAAAAGATGTCTGGTATTTGTTTGGTTTTGAGGCTATGGACATCTCAGAAGCACCTGCTCAATCCGAACCCTGAACTCCAAGGAGGCACCCACTTTGACTCTGCCTGCCTAATCCAATTCTACTGTTCTTCCCAAACAGCTTCGGTTAATCCTGTCATGTTACTGAGAAACCTGTGGCCCTTTAGCAATGGCTGCATTCCTAGCATCTTTCACATTGACTATAGTACCAGAAATTGCTGGAAAATACACAACTCCCTTGTCTTAACAGCTATAAGAAAGATAAACACAGTTGGTACTAATGAGCTCCTGAAATTATATATTTGTGGATAAATAAAATGGGGTGGGTAATTTCTCCAGGTTTTATTTTAAGGGAAAGAAATTAAAATCTCCACTGATTTCTCAAGAGCAGAAGCTCCCTTATATTTAATAGAAGTGTGGGAAGTCAGGGCGGATGCAACAGCTAGATGGAAGAGGCTCCGAAGAAAAAACAGGACAGATGTTGGCCACCTCATTATTAAACTCCACTTTTCTTTTTGGGAAACATTTCTGTGTCATCATACTGAGTGAGAACTGGCTGGGTGGGTGGGGGGAAAGGGTGTGTGTGTGGGGGGGAGGGGGGAATATTTCCATCAGTAAAAAAAAAAAACTTTTCCTCAGTGGCATGATCCATCCCAAACTAAGCACTTTTCAGTCTTCATTGAGAAGAACTTGTGGATCTACAGCTGCCAACACTGTAATCTAGGTAAGACTTTGAGCCAGATGTTGTAATTCAGCAACCTCTGGTGTGTTACAGATTCTCATCATATTAATTGCCCTCCTAAAATCAATGTAATTTTAAGATTGCCAAGTGGGGTGGGGGTAAGATTTGGGTTTAACATTAGAAGCTTCTAATGTGAAGGTTACTCAACAGGCTGATGTAAAGCCTCAAGGGGTACTTTTCTTTGACAGAGGCTTCAGCAACGTAGCCTTTGGATGTAGCTCTGCAAAGTGACATGTCTCCTTTGCTGTCTTACGTTGTCAGTTCCATAAAACATTTAGAGTGAAGCAAAGAGACCAGGCCAAGTCCAGCCAAACCAAGCTGCCTAACTTCGAAGACATCAGAATGGAATGCTCCATTTGCTTTGCTCCTCTGTCAAAATCCACACAATACTTTGATTTACACAAATGTGAATTCAGTTGTGACACAGAGACTGTGGTTGCACCTCCCTCAAAAGGAAGGCAAGGCCAGCCCACTGTAAGAAGGGCTCTAACTTCAGCAGTCCTCAACCTGATGCTTCCCCAGATGTTTTGGACTCATACTAATTCCTCACTAATCTGGCCACTTACTTGACTGCTCAACATGTTGGCTGGATCTGATGGAATTTATAGCCCAACCTTCCTGAAGAGGTTCTAAACAGCCAAGAGGTTAGGGGAAAGTAGCAAATTCTTCATTGGGCTTGATAGGATTAATATAACCTTGGAAGGTTAATATAGCCTTGAAAGATTAATAATAGATTGATATTAATCTATTAATATAGATTAATATATAATATGGTCATCTTCTAGCCAAACCTAGAAACAGACATATAAAAGGAATAGAGAGAAAGAGAGAAAGCAACACATAGGCTTGCCTTCCCCAGCCTGGCATAGTTTACAGTAACAGTAACAGAGTTGGAAGGGACCTTTGGAGGTCATCTAGTCCAACCCCCTGCTCACACAGGAGACTTGTACTAGAGATTTGAACTGCCAAACTACCAACCTTTCTGATCGACAAGCTCAGTGACTTAGCCATTGAGCCACCTAATCAGGGATTTTCTGGATGTATTACAGTTCCCATCAACTGCAGCCAGGATGGCCTCAGGCAGTACTGAGTAGGAACCATGGGGTCAGTTGTTACTTCCTGCTAAGAAATGATTGGTTGGTTTTCATAAGGTTTCTCAATTCGAATACTTAATTACTGAACGAAGCCAACCTTCTGAGTTTCCACAACATAGTCAGCTGGGTTTGGTCTAATTTATGATCTAGTTTGTTGTGCAAACACAACCATTAGGTACCGTAAATAAAAGTAAAAACTAATAGCTAAAACATATAAGAAATTGCACAGACAGGAGGTGAAATGTTACAAAATTATTCAGTTCACCTACAGAGAGCACATTTCTTGAGTTTTCTGGACAGAATAAAAGACCCTGAGAAACTCAGGATCCTCTAAATCAGCGGTTCTCAACCTGTGGCTTGCGACCCCTTTGGGGGTCAAACGAGCCTGTCACAGGGGTCACCTAAGACCATCGGAAAACACATATTTTCGATGGTCTTAGGAACTGAGACACCGCTCCTCTATCTGTCTCCAGGTGGGTCCGATCGTGCGGCTCAGTTGGGATCGCCAGAAGCTTCCAAAAGCATTTTTCTCTTTGGCTAAAGAGGTTTTAGAAAAAAAATGCCTTTAAAAGCCTCTGGCGATCCCAGCTGAGTTGCCTGATTATCAGAGGCTTCCAAAAGCATTTTTTTCTGCAACCTCTTAAGGTTGTAGAAAAAAATGCTTTTAAAAGTTAAAAAAAAAAACCCAGTTGGCCACACCTGCACAGTCACATTACCCTCCCCCCCCCACACACACACCAAGCCACGCCCACAGAACCGGTAGGGTCACGGCATTAGGAAGATTAAGAACCACTGCTCTAAATGCTGTTGGGCTATCAACCCAACCACCCCTAACCTCTCACAATGCATCCGAGGTTGCTGACTGATAGACGTCAACAAAATATGAAGGATTGTAATTTTCTAACTCCAGATCTTTTGTATTGCTACAAGATGATGATTGAAACCCAGTATGTGACATACTTGGGCAAAAACAGTGGATCTAGATTCTACTTCCCATCCCCTTCCTGAGTTGACACTTTAATTTCAATCTCTGTCAAGCATACCTGTACTATACCACATGAATTGACAAGATAAAGTGATAAACAACTTTATTGTTCAAGTGCTAAATGATGGGCCCATCAGGTTGGATGGCATTCAGATGTCCTGAAGGATATTTTGGAATCCTTACAGTGAGGATTTGGTACCCTCTGAAATTGCTTGTTTTCCTGCACATGTTTCATTACCTTAGCTAGGTAACATCATCAGTGCCGTTTGTTGTCAGTGTATATTCTGCTGACTTGTCTATTTGTGTGGGTGGGGGGTGGTTTTAGATATTCTTTGGTTGGGCTGTTTACTGATGGCTCTTTGGCAGTTTCTCGATTGGGGTATTGCAGGGGTGAAATCCAGCAGGTTCTGACAGGTTCTGGAGAATCGGTAGCAGAAATTTTGAGTAGCTCGGAGAACTGGCAAATACCACCTCTGGCTGGCCTCAGAGTGGGGTGGGAATGGAGATTTTGCAATATCCTTCCCCCTGGCTGTGGGAAGGGAATGGGGATTTTGCAGTATCCTTCCCCTGGAGTGAGGTGGGAATGGAGATTTTGCAATATCCTTCCCCCAGGAGTGGGAAGGGAATGGTAATTTTGCAGTATCCTTCCCCTGGAGTGGGGAGGGAATGGTGATTTTGCAGTATCCTTCCCCTGGAGTGGGGAGGCAATGTAGATTTTGCAATATCCTTCCCCCAGGAGTGGGGAAGGAATGGGGATTTTGCAGTATCCTTCCCCTGCCATGCCCACCAAGCCACACCCACAGAACTAGTAGTAAAAAATTAGATTTCATCACTGGGGTATTGTTTACTTGATTATTGGTCTGAAGTTAACCTTGGTGTTAATCTATGCTGATCTCAGTGCTGATTCCTGTTGGAGAGGTTACTGGAATCTTTTTGTTCTCTTTTGGGCTGGTTGATTGTCCCTTTTGCATAGTCTATAGATGTTGTTAATGTCTATGTGTCTATTGAGGGCTGATTTGTCATAATGCCAGCTTGGCCTGGTCTAGGATTGTCATAGTTTCCCAATTGAAACCATGGTTACATCTGTCTCTATGTTGTGAAATTAAAGAATTTTCATCATGTCTTCTGACTGCCAGTTGGTGTTCATGGCTTCATTCTGTCAGTTTTTTGCCTGTTTGTCCTACATAGTGGTTGTTGCAGAACTCTACATTGTTGTAGATGGCTCCTGTTTTTTCTTCTGGGGTTGCTGGGTCTTTTGGTTTGCTTAGGAAGGGCTTTAGTTGGCTTGTGTGTCACACTGATTCCATGTGATTAAAGTAGTCTGTTGGTTGCTTCTGAGATATTCTTGATGTATGGCAGTGTAATTCTTTTTTAGGGTTTGTATTGGTTGTGGTGAATTGGGTTGAGTGGTCAGGGACTTTTTAATAAAGTTGTGTGGATATATATTTTGTTGGAATGTGTTGTATAGTTCTTACAGTGCTTATGATGTAGTTAAAGCCTTCAGCATGCCTAGTTGCTGAATGCAGGGAAAGAAAATCCAAAGCTACAAAGACAAAATTTCAGTGGAAACGTGGACCTTAAGAAGCACGAACAGGGGGAAGCTCAACAAACTGAATAAAATGAATTGTCTACACATTAACATTAAACATCAATGCATTGACTGGAGTTGAACAGTCACACTATTTACTACTCAGGAAATGAAAAACAAAGATAGGATAGAGTTGCTTTCACAGGCTGGAGGGATGTAGTCAAGACAGTACTTGATAGAATTCAGTCAATGACCAAAGGATATTAATTAGAATTTTTGGATAAACCTTTAATATGATGGTTTTCCAATTTTATCTCCAATAGTATATGCAACAGAAGAGGTAAATAAATTTTATGAACAAGTTTAATCTGAAATAGCAATAGCACTTAGATTTATATACCCCTTCACAGTGCTTTACAGTTCTCTCTAAGTGAGATTTACAGAATCAACATATTGCCCCCAACAATCTGGGTTCTCATTTTACCAACCTCAGAAGGATGGAAGGCTGAGTCAATCTTGAGCCCCAACAGAATTGAACTCCAGGAAGTGAGGAGGGTCAGCCTGAAATACAGCATTCTAACCACTCCTACAACAGAACATGCAAGCAAGAGACTGGAATATCAAACTGGAAATAATAA